CGACTTTGGCACCGCACGCCGACATCATTCGCGCGCTCTTGCGCGCGTGCTGGGGGGGCACGATCCGTGTCAAATAACACCACGCAGGCCACTTTCGCACGTCGGCCGCGCGCGCATGCCGAACTCTTCCCAAAACCTTCCTCGCCGACGCGGGGACGCCGTCATCGTCGTCGGCGTGATCAGCATCGGCGCCCGCACTGGCCGCGCCGTCGTCGCTGTCAGCATCGCCACCAGCATCGCTACTATCATCATCCTGTCTACCGTTGTCGGCGATGCCATGATGCCGCGCCCGCCCAAGTCGCCGACTCGCACTGAAGTGCCCGCTGGGGTGTGCCCAGCGGTCAGCGCCACCGCGGCCGCGTCGGTCGCGCCAAACCAGCTGGCAGCTGCGCGCGCGTGTTGAGTTGGCCCGGCCGCAAAGATGGACCAGCCAACGCCAAGCATGCATCGCAATCGCCACCGCATGGGTTTTGCAAACCAAGTTGCGGGTGGGTGGGTGTGAGGTCTGCAAGAACATGGGATGTGTCAACTCGTTTGTTAAAATAAATTGCTCCGCGTAGAATTCACAACGGTTGCGCTGTGGGGCGCATGCAGCGTGGTGGAGACGACACAAGAACAACCGGCCCCCAAGTACTTGTCCGCGAATTCGTTCGAGAGGTACACGCCTGGATCAACGTGACCACAGGCAGCATGACCCCCTCCCAACAGGCGGCGGCACTGCAGCGCGGTCTGGGAGGCCTCGCACGGACCATAGCCGTGAGAGTACCCCCCTCAGTCATCAACGTTGGCGTTAATATTGGCGGCTGCCACACTGATGGCGTCATCTATCTCATGTTCCTCCTCAGTACGAAGTTTGAGAACTTAAAGGAGGAATGCCAACACAATCCGGGAACGGCTCTCATTGATTTTTGCGTCCATGCACCACGTAAATTCCTGCACCTGGTTGCTCCACGTACATTGCACCACATCGATTTCTAGAAACACTCCGTTTAAGGTACACGCTGGCCAACATTCTAATGATTCGAAATTCTACGAACAGGAAAACTAGCTATCCGCCGACCCCCGCTGGTCGGGGGTGCAAAGGCGTGTGAGATGGTTGACTGCTTCCCTCCCCCGCTCCCCCTTCCCCACCCAGGGTCCAAAATCGAGTGTCGAGGGTGCGGGGGGGAAGCGGGCACGAGCTCCTCAACGCTCCATCCAAACTCAGTACCGGTCGCCTCCGAGACGCCCAAGATGCTTTCCAAGACGGCGCAAGCCCAGCTCGCCGAAAGATGACCCCAAGAGGACCCCCTCGAGGGTCGCAAGAGTTAACAAATCATTGATTATGCGAGTATGGTTTGACTGGTTTCGTGTTCTCGCATGTTCGGGCGTGCGGGCGTCAGCAAAGAAGCAACAAACGGCGCAACGGGCCGCAAATAGGGCAGCAAATAGGGCCTGGAGGCAGCCCAAAAAGCCGCAAGACGGCGCAATCTACCTCCAAGACGACATCAACAACCCTCAAGAGGCCCCGAGCAAGGCCCAGGAGCGGCCCAAGAGGGGGAACCCGAGAGGACCACAGGATGCCTCCCCCGCAAGATGACCCCCAAGACCCCCGCCATGATCCGAAGAGGCCCTCGAACAAAAAAACCATAGGGACCCCCTAGCCACACAGGGCGTTTGGAGAAGCTCCACAGGGCCGCCCCCTAGGTCTCCAAAAGGCACCGAAGAAACCCTGCAACAGACACGGAAGAGGAGGAGGAGGAGGAGGAGGAGGAGGAGGAGGAGCAGGAGGACGAATCACAGTCAGCTAGGCGGGAAGTGGCATAACGACACACGTACACACGCACACGGAGCCGGACTCCGCTCGTGTCCCCTTTCTGGGGGCCCGGCGGAACGGCGCAGGCCTCCTGCTCCGTGCGGGTGCCATTGATGTGCCCAACGGTTCCCATGCTGACGCTGCCGTATGCTGGGCCATGCTATGATCAGCGCTGCTACGATGCATTGCGCTGTGATCTGGTGATGGGCTACGCTGTGCACTGTCACGGCTGATACTGCTGCGTCGTGTCATACTATGGTATGCTGCGATGCGACTTCACATTGGCCAGTGCGAGTGTCATATCACGTTGTGCTAGTGGGTGTTGGGACATGCTACGCTGCACCACGATACTTCGATGGCAATGCTACCATGTGTTGCAGCATGCTTGGGTAGTGCTAGACTGTTCGATTATGTGGGACACCCCGCTGTAACACACTCTGCCTTATTGTGTTATGCCGTAACATGCTAAACATGAGGTGCTTTGTTATACCGTGACCCACTTCACTGAGTAATGGCTTGGTCGAAGCACGAAACCTCAGCGCGACCCAACGTATGAGGTCGAACATCTTACACTACCGTTTCGGAAAGCACCCCTGAGCAACGCAAGATAATCCCATACAACGAATTGCTTGGTTGCTTCGCGTTGTTTGGCATTCCTTAGTATTGACTGTGCGTTGCCTGCCATCGCTTGGAGTTGCTCGGCATTGCTCGGCATTGCGTTGCACGCATTGGCATTGCTCAACATTGTTCAGCATGCCTTGGCATTGCTTGGGATTGTTTGGCACTGTTTGATGTTAATTTGCGTTGTTTGACTCTGCTGGGCGCTGATTGTCATGGATTGGTATTCGCTTCGCGTTGCTTGGCACCGCTTGGAGTTGCTCGGTATTGCTTGGCATTGCTTGTCCTTGCTTTGCGTTGCTTTGCATTGCTTGGCATTGCTCGGTATTGCTTGGCATTGCTTGACGTTGCTTGGCACTGCTCGGCGCTGCGTGGCATTCATCAGTGTTGCTGGGCATTGTTTGGCATTGGTTGGCATTGCTTAGCGTTGCACGGTATTGCTTGGCGTTGCTCGGCAGTGTTTGGCTTTGGCTTTGCGCTGCGTGGCAACCCCGAGAATCGCCGGGGGACCCCATGCTAAGCAAGGCCAAGCAATTCCAAGCCATGCCGAACAACCCCGAGCAACCCTGGGCAAGCAACTGGGCGACGCCAGACCGCACCTCTGACGAAAGGCGTCGCACCTACTGGCTTCCTTCACTAACACATGAAATCCCATTCGGTAAGCCTGATACTGAAAAAAACGCTGCCAACCAATGCATATCGAACGTCGTGATGTTCTTACGACGTCGGATCTGGGGGTTCTCCTCCTCCTCCTCCTCCTCCTCCTCCTCCTCCTCCTCCTCCTCCTGCTGCTCCTTCTCTTCCTCCTTCTCCTGCTCCTCCTCCCCCTCCTCCTCCTCCTCTTACCTCCTACCTCCTCCTCCGCCTCCCGCCTCCGCCTCCGCCTCCGCCCCTCCTCCTTCTCCTCGTCTCCTCCTTCATCCTCGTCCTCCTCTTCCTCCTCCTCCTCCTCCCTCCTCCCTCTCCTCCTCCTCCTCCCTCCTTCTCCCATCCTCCCTCTCCTGCTCCTACCTGCTCCTCCTGCTCCTCCTGCTCCTCCTGCTCCTGCTCCTGCTCCAGCTCCTCCTCCTCCTCCTCCTCCTCCTCCTCCTCCTCCTCCTCCTCCTCCTCCTCCTCCTCCTCCTCCTCCTCCTCCTCCTCCCCCCACTCGACCTGAGAACTCTACTGGGGGAGTGTTCATTCAAACCTTCGTGCGCATCCAGCATCCACCAATGGCGACAAGCGCGCCCTCAAAGGCCTAGAAAGACAGATGATCGTCATGGATGTCCCATCCACTGTTTTCCTCCCTCTCTCCCCCTCCTCCTCCTCCTCCTCCTCCTCCTCCTCCTCCTCCTCCTCGTCCTCGTCCTCCTCCTCTTCACTCCATCTCCTTCTCCTGCAGCTCAAGAACCCTGACATCTGACGTCGTGCATTCTTCGCAATGTGGCTCCCCAGAGGTCTGGGCATCTCCACGGGGGCCAGTTTTGATCCAGAACTTTGAATAGAGCCTTCTGGTCTCCAAGGGCCTCCTCCTCCTCCTCACCCTCTTTCTCCCCCTCCCTCTCCTCCTCGTTCTTGCCTCCCTCGTCCTACCTTTCCTGCCGTGGGGTTGCGAACTGCGCGACCGTCGCCACATGCGTGAGCTCCTGGAAGGTCCAGCGGGGTGGGTAGTCACGCCTGGGGGGATGCGATCTGCGCAACAGTCGCCCTGTTCGTGGGCTCCTGGGAGGTCCAGCGGAATGGGTATTCACACAGACCCCTGCGAGACCTCGCGGCTCCCTGGGGGGCTACGAATTGTGCAAATGTCGCCACTTGCGTGGGCTCCAGGGAGGTCCAGCGGAATGGGCAGTCACGAAAACTCTCGCGGCTCCCTGGGGTAAACGTCGCCACTTTCACGCTCCTGGGGGTCCAGCGGGGTGAGTCGTCATGCACACCCCTGCGAGACATCGCGGCTCCCTGGGGGGCTGCTTCCAGCAGGGTGAGCAGTCACGCAGACCCCTGCGAGACCTCCGGAACCCAGACTAGACCTCGGCGTTTCTCCGCCTCCCCCCCTCCACGTCTGTCCCCCATTCTGCGTTCGTTGTCATCCTTGTCGTCGCCGTCCCGTTCATCATCTAAGCTGCGCAGGTGTGCGACGCGCGTGGCCCGACATCGTTTGGCGAAGCAGTTCGGAGTGCTGCTTATTTCGCAACGTGCTCTTTTGTGTGGAGCGTTCATATGAACAGTCGCCTCGCGTGAAGGAGCTGGGTACGTCTCGGGTTCGGATGCATTTGCTTGACTGTCCCCAAGCCTTGCGCCCCCCCCCAACCCCCACCCAAGAATTGGAAAATTCATGAATGCCCCACCCTCGTGGTTTCTTCGCGACGCGAAAATTTCAACAGGACGGCCACTAATCGAATCGATAAGTCGGCTTAGCGATCGAAATGGAACGGGTCGGTGGACATCGGAAGCCAAGTCGGGAGAAATCGAATCGGCAGAAATCGGCGGGCCAGTAAGGCCCCCCTTGGAGAACGAAGTCCACATCGGAATCGATCGACACTGGACCGAACCGAGTCGGCGGAATCGAAATGAGCCCCGTGTCAGCGAATCGGGAGAGCGGGCGATGCTCCAGAGGGAACCCGTCGATGTCGCACTCCATCGCCTCCCCGTCCAGCTCGTCCGCGCCTGCGGCGGCGCTCGGGGAGGGCGGCCACGCTCGCCAGCGGTGCTGAGGGAAGATGGCCCCATACCACCACCGCCGAGCACCCAAAGGCGGCGAGAAGGACAAGCATATCTATATATATACATATATATATATACACGCATCGAGAGAGAGAGAGAGACACACAAGCGTTTGCAAACATAGTAATTAACGAGAGGGAGAGGGAGGAAGGTGGGGACAAAGACGAGGAGAGGAGGCCGAGAGGTACGCGGAGACGAAGGAAGAGATGAGGCTGAGACTGGAAGAGGTAAAGAGAGAGAGAGAGAGATGAATACATACAGAAAGACTACGAGTAATACACATTAACTACTGGAGTCACGCCGCGCCTCTGGCGCTGAGGTGTTAGTAGTCGGGCGCATTCGCAACGGCCGTTCCAAGGAGAAAAGCACTGATGACCAATCTGAAAGAGGCCACCGGAAAAAATACTTCACGAGTCGAAAAAGAGATCACAAATAAGGAACGCTTGGGAAAGCCACGCTGGTAGCCATTTGGAGCTGTCTTGGGCTCTAGACGACAAGTCTCTGCTCTACGCTGTCTTGGGCTACATAGCCTCTGCCCGACGACCTTGTGGAATCCGTGGATAAGGAAGACGGGCCCCTGTGCCAGCAGGCGTTCAAGGAGGGGCATGTCTCACCCTTGGCTGTAAGAGCAGTGAAGACCTCACGGGAAGAACCCAAGGGATAAGCGTTCGCTCGCACGTGGACGGGTTTCACAACACACACACACACGCACACAAACACACACCTTGAGACGCCTCGCGCCTTCCTAGCGAAGAGTAAAAGGGCTCTTGGAACCGTTGCCCATAAACCTTAAAGTGTCTCCATGCTCCCTCCAGAGCCCATTGGCTTGGCCTCTTGAATTCCTTGCAGCGTTCCCCGGGTTCTCTTCGGACCGTCGCTTGTGCCTATGAGGCTGCTTCTTATGGCCCCTTAGTACGCTCCTGGAGCCTCTGGAGGGCCTGCTGGCCAGCCCTCCCAAGCCTGACCCCAACACGATTCCGTCGCGAGACCCCCTCTAGATCTAACGACAATGACAACCCAAAAGACAATCCCTGGAAAAAAACCTGAGGACCGCGCCGTCCTGCACACGTCGAACCTCAAGCGCATCGGCACCGCTGGATGCTGGACACCGCATCGGCACCCCTGAGGCCATCTTGGGAACGTCTTCGGGGCCGGCGTGGGCTACCTTGAGCTCTGCGGGCCCTATTTGGGGTGTTCGGGGCCCTCTTGCCGCCTCTGAGGCTATCTTGGGAACGTCTTCGGGGCCGGCATGGGCTACCTTGAGCTCTGCGGGCCCTATTCGGGGTGTTTGGGGCCCTCTTGCCGCCTCGGAGGCCATCTTGGGAACGTATTCGGGGCCGGCATGGGCTAGCTTGAGCTCTTCGGGCCTCGGGGGGGTTGGGGCCCTCTTGCCGCCTCGGAGGCCATCTTGGGAACGTATTCGGGGCCGGCATGGGCTAGCTTGAGCTCTGCGGGCCCTGTTCGGGGTGCTCGGGGCCCTCTTGCCGCCTCGGGGGCCGCCTCGGGAGGCTTCTGGGGGCCCGGGGAGAGAGAGCGGAGATGCCAAGACCGGGCGTGGGTCCCTCCCTCCCTCCCTCCCTCCCTCCTCCCTTCTTTCCCTCCCTCCCTCCCAAATTGCTCCAAAATCCCCTCCCTCCCTCACCGCCCCTCTCCCCTCCCTCACCTCCCCCTCCCTCCGTTCCACCCCCCATCCCCATCTCCTTCCTATCTCCCTCCCTCCCGCCCCGCACCCTCCCTCCCCTCCCTCTCGGCCCTCCCTCCCTCGCCTTCCTCCATTCCTCTCTTCCTCTCTCCCTCCCTCCATCCTCTCCTCAGTCCTCTCTTCCCTCCATCCCTCCCTCCACACTGTCTTCCCCTCCACCCCTCCCTCCCTTCTCCCTCCCTATCTCCCTCCCCTCCACCCCCTCCCACCCTTCTCTCCCTCCCTAAACCCAGCCTTCCCTCCCTTCCTCCCTTCCTTCCGGCCTCCTCCTATCCCTCCTCCAGTTCCCCTCCTCCTTCCCTCCTTTTCCCTTCTTTTCCTCCTCGTCCCTCCTCCTCCTCCTCCTCCTCCTCCTCCTCCTCTTCCTGCTCCTCCTCCGCCACCTCCTGTCTTCCACCCCCCTCCTCCTCCTCCTCCGCCTCCGCCTCCTCCTCCTCCTCCTCCTCCTCCCTTCCTCCTCCTCCTCCTCCTCCTCCCCCATGCCCCTCCCCCTCCTCCCCCTCCCCCTCTCCTCCTCATCCCCCTCCTCTTCCTCCTTCTTCTCCTCCTCCTCCTACTACTCCTCCTCCTTAGTCCTCACTCCTCTCTCCTCACTCCTCACTGCTCCTCCGCCAATATGTTCTTCGATCCGCGGCCCCAGGTGCTCTGGTCACTTCCCCCGAAGCAGTCTTCCGCCGGGAGCCCGTCTTTGATGGGCCAGGGACCGACGACGGCCCCGGGGGCCAAGATGGAAGAGCAACTGCCAGTTGAAAGCTCAGATCGTCGGGGATCGGACGCCGCGGAACAAGCCGCAGCATCGTCGAGGCTCACCACCAGAACCCCAGACCCCATCCTCCCGCGGCGCTCCTCGAGCCCCTGTCGACCTGCGAGCGGCCCAGGAAGCCCGAACTGGGCGAGAACGCCCAGTTCGAAACAAAATTGCAGCGCTCGGGTCTCACAGGGAGGGTGGGGGGCAACCCTGAGCGGTTCCCAGATCTCCGACGTCGTCACCTTTTCACAACGCCAGCCCTGGGAGGCTTACGGTCGGACCGAGGCATAAGATCGAGGTCGGCTCGGGGAGGGTACCCTGATGTGTTTCGTGCTTGTTGGGTGTTCTTGTGCATCCTGGGGGAGGACACACTCGAGAACTCTCGAAGGCCTCATGTTTTTGACATTGTTGTTGATGATGATGATGCTGCTGATGATGATGATGACGATAATGATGGTGATGACGATGATTGTGATGATGATGGCGATGATGACGATGATGATGATTATGCTGTTGATGACGAGGCTGATGGTAATGATGATGATGCTGCTGATGACGATGATGATGAATATGATCTTCATGATGGTGAGTATGAGTATGATGCTGATGACGAGGATTATGGTGAGGATGATGATAATACTGCTGCTGCTGATGACAATGATGATGCTGATGCTGATGCTGCTGATGATGATGCTCATGTTGATGATGATGTTGTTGGTGTTGAACTCTCATTTCTGACAAATAATTATTGTTGATCCCCCCACCGGCGCATACTGCTTTTTCAATCAAACTGTGCCCCTCGACGCTCGCACCTTGTTTCTTGACAGGGGAAATCTTGATGCTCAAACTGGGCCCCCGGCCCCCCGGATTACAACAACAACCGCTCCCGCTTGAGACTTCCTTACAATTTAGCCAGGACCGCCGCTCCCCCCCCCGAGATTCCTTCACATTTTATTCAGGAATCGCGCTCTCGCTTGGGACTTCCTTACCACTTATTCAGGAATCGCTCTCCCGGCGCCCTGGGGTCGCGCTCTCGCTGGAGACTTGCTTGCAATTTACTGAAGAATAGCGCCGTTGCCTTGGAATTTCTTGCAATTTGCTCAAGCGGCGCGCTCCCGACACCCAGGCACCCAGGAGTCGCGCCCGTTGTGGCCCCATGTGCATGCCCTTCGTGGCCCCGCTGTCGCCGTTTGTGGCCCCCTCAGTCCTACGTGGCCCAGTTGCTACCCTCAGTGGCCCCATCGTTTCCTTCTGTGGCCCCGCATTATCTGCCCTTCGTGGCCCCCGCTTGTTCGCGCTCTTCGTGGCCCCATACGCATTCCCTTCATGTCCCCGCTGTCGCCCTTCGTGGCCTACTTCGTGTCCTTCGTGGCCCTGCTGTCGTTCTCTCTCGCTCTCGCTTTTGCTCGTCGTCGCCGTCGTCGTCGTCGTCGCCGTTGTCGTCGACGTCGTCGTCGTCGTCGCGGTCGGTCCCCTGTCCGTCCCTCTTGGGGTCGGGTCGACGGTCCGCGGCTGCCCCGCCGATCAGCGCTGCCGCTGGCCAGGCCGACGGTCCGCGGCCGCCCCGCCGCTTGCCGGGCCCCGGCCTGCAGGGAAGAAAGGAATACCCCCCAAAAGGGGTTCGATCGAAAACGAAGGGGGTGGGTTATCGAGGGTTTGGGAAGTGCGCGTTATTGGACACTCGAGCATGTAAGGGCGAACGGTCTTAAAATGAGTATTGTTGTTGTTGCTGTTGCTGTTGTTGTTGTTGTTGTTGTTGTTGTTGTTGTTGTTGTTGTTGTTGTTGTTGTTGTTGTTGTTGTTGTTGTTATTGTTATTGTTCTTGTTTTTGTCCTTCTTCTTGTTGGGTGTTCTTCTGTCCCAGGTCTGGCCGTGCTCTCGGGGGGCGAGGCCGCCAGGGCCAGGAGAGGGGGCGGGGGGCACCTCGCGGCGCGTCCCGTGCCGGTGCCTTCCCGCTCGCCGTTGTTTTGTTGCCCCAGGCGGGTGCGAAGCGTGTCGGGTCGGGCGCAGAGGAGGCCGGCCGCAGAGGAGGCCGGCATCGGCAGAAGTTCTTAGGGCCTCTAGAATGCCCTTGACGGGATCTCTTATGTAAGTACAACATCTTGGGTGCGTCGTACGGGGCGCTCTTAGATGCCTGCTGCTCGTCCTGTGGCCGTCTTAGGACTGGGGGCTGGCTCAAGAGGCCCAAACACGGAAACTGTCCAACTATTTGCACGAGTTTGCCCCTCTCGCTGTTTAGGTCTCAAGAACGTCGCAAGCACAGCCCCCGAGGACCCAAGAGGAGCCCAGCCCAAAAGGGGGTCCGCGAACGGACTCCAGGAGCATGGTTGGGAATCATCCCCCTCCTTCCCCCAAGATGGTTCCAGGACCCCTGCCAAGCACCCATGAGGCCGCCCAGAGGCCCACAGGGGAACTCCAAAAGGTCGCAACCATGTTCCTCGGAGCCCTTCACCGGGAATCATTGGAAGCACGGCAGAGAATACGTTGCAGCCT